GATTAGGTAGAATCGGTGCCTCCCGTCTTCCAGGTTGGGGTCCGAAAGACTGCAACTGGCTGGCCGGAGACATTAAAGGATATGGTGACTGACCGACAGCAGTGGCGCTCTTGTTGTCATTTCTTAACAAGGCAGAATGCTGGAAAATAGATATGCATGAACACTTAGATTGTGTACTTTGTGTGTTGAACATAGGTTCTTTTTATTTGCCTCCCTCCAAGTAGGCCCAATCCCTCTCCATCTTATGCTTTATCATTTGATTTGTGTACATTGTGAGCTTTGCAGCGATCAGTGAAGCTCGCTTCACTGTATCTCGCTGTACGATGGTGATGATGATGGTGTCTGGTCACCTGAGAATGAGATAGACGAGAAGTCACTGGACTGGGAATCGCTGAAGCGAGTTTGGAAGAGCAGAAACCAAAATAGTAACAATAGAAAAGAGATAGCGAAGCAAATTCCCGGCGATGGGAAAGGGACTGCAAGGTTGAAGTTAAAGACAGTTCGTTGATCAGCCGGATGGCTTTACGTTGAACACGGTCGAGGAGAGAAAAAGCGGAATAGGAAGCCCCACCCCATACGTGACTGCAGTATTCAAGCATCGGGCGGAATTGAGCTTTGTATGAAAGAAGAAGTGCTTGAGTGTGAAGAAACACCTTCCGCAGAATAGAAAACCAACTTCGTGTGCAACGAGAGAGGTGAGTGTAGAGATAAAAAGGGACCAACAGAGAGAAGAATTTATGGATAAACTCAGGAGGAAGAGAGAATTTGTAAAACGAAGGGGCAGAGAATCAAAAATCAATTGAAGAGAAAAGGAGACATGTTTAAGAGAGACTGAGAGGAGAGAAGTTTTGGAAGCACTGAAACACATGGTTGGTAGAACCCCATGCATAGATTAGTCCGAGATTGAAGGCAAGGGAAGCACTATTGACATTACGATTGTGATCGATGTTGGTATTAGCTTGACGGATTGTGGGGTAAGAAAGAGAACAATGAAGAGTGGCGTCATCGGCAAAACAGTGAATAGGGTTTGATGTTTAGGATAAAAGTTCGTTGATAAATAAGAGAAAGAGGTTGGGCGAAAGTATGGAACCTTGAGGAGCACCTGCGTTTACAGGAAATGGCCGAGATAGGACCCCATCTACTCGGACGGAGAGGGTTCGCTTTCTGAGGAAACAACAAAGCCACGATACCAGAGACGGGTGGAATCCGAACATGGGTAATTTTGACAGCAGACCTTAATACCAAACACGGTCGAAGGCCTTTGAAGTGTCGAGCGAGACCATGTGAGTTTCTCCGTGGTTATCGAGTGCGGCCGACCAAGAATGTGATATGAGCGCCAGTAAGTCATCCGTAGATCAACGAGGGCGAAATCCATACAGACGGTCATTTAACGAACCGCGTTCGAGAAACGTGTTTAATTGGTCGGAGGTGATGGTTTCAAACACTTACGAGATTACAGATGTAAGAGTAATGGGACGGTAGTTGTTGGGGTCGAAAAGGTCACCGCGCTTTGGAATTAGAAAAATAATAGCATTTTCCATGGAGTAGGGCAATATTTCAGTTCGAGTGAATAACAGAAAAGGCGGCGTAGAACAGGGGCTAACTCTGGGGTACACATTTTTAGGACGACAGATGGAATACCGTTCGGACCGGGTGGTTTACAAACATCCAAACCGCGAAGAGTTTGGCGGACCTTTCTGGTTGTTATGATAGGTAGAAAGGAATGACTGGATGTGTAGGAGGAGGGTTGAACAGTAGAGGTGGCAGATTAGGTGGAGTTGGAGGCAAACCGGGAAGCAAAGACCTCTGCTTTTTCGTGGGGATTACAAGCAAGAGTAACAGAGCAATTGCGAATGGGGAGAAAGTTGGTGGGGCAGAAATTACGTAAAACCGCTTTAGCTATGGATCATAATGTTCGGTTACCGGTGGCGGAAGAAGCCAAGCATGCAGCTTTGTGACAAACGAAGCATTCTTTGGCTCTCTGAATAGTGACCGAGCATTTGTTTCTGGCTTGCACGAAGTGGTTGCGGGATGCTGGATTGGGTGAGTGGCGCCAACGACGGAATGCTGAGTTTTTAAAACGTACAGCACGGTTGCGAGCATGAATAAACCACTCGGGGGATCGTGATTTACCGGGTTTAGAGAAGTGTGGAATATAAAGATACCTTGAAGAACAATCTTCGTGAAGTTTGAAACAGACTTGGAAACATCCGATTTAAAACAACAATCCTTCTAGGGATAACAAGCCAGAAAGTCACGAAAACCGTCCCAACTGGCTGAATCGTAATGCCCGAAGGTGCGTCTGGAGTTATGTGGTGAAATGGAGTGAGAGAAATAAGTAACAAAGGAAATGCAACAATGATCCCATGAGCCTAATGGGGAAAGGAAGTAATGTTGGAGAAAGAAGAGGGAATGGATGTGAGAATGAGGTCAGGGGTGTGGGCGCGGTCATCAATACGATCAGGGATGCGTGTGGGGAGGTTAATTACATAGTTGACTTGGGTTGTTGACTACAGCAAAAGCCTCGGCTTCGCGTCCCAAGAAGGTAGTGTCTAAGGAGTGCTTCAGCCATTCCTTGTTGTGAACATTGAAATCTCCGACAATGGTGATTTGGTTGTTAGAATCTGCCAATATTAGTGTCTCAATGTCGGAAGACAAGATATAAAAATGGAAGAATCACTGCTGCTTGGGGAGCTGTAACCAGTACAAAAGAAGGGAATCGAAGTTTCAGCCACATAAGCTGAAATTCACGGTCAGAGAAGTCCAAGTGTAAAAGTCGAGAAGAAGCAACAGAATAATGGACATAGGTGCAGACACCAGCTTTAGAAAGAAAAGAATGGAGGAAGTAATTAGGGAACTGAAGATGAGTAGTGTCTGACGAGGGGGAGATTTGTGTTTCCGTCAAAATTAAAGCCAGGGGGGAGAGGATTGTAGAAAAAGGTGTACAGAATTAATGTTTCGATTTAAACTAAGAATGTTAGTGAGGGCTATGGAGTGTTGTGAGTTTGTAGGTAGAGTGCTCATTCTGTGATTTTTGTGAGTTGTATTGTTCATTTGTGGTGTGAGAAAAGACCGGTAACCCAACCCTGAGACTTGGAGTGGTAAACCACATAAAGCCCCAATAGGTTGTATGTAGTCACCATGCAAGGCAATATCATCAGCATACTCAAAGTCTACGACTCTGTCTCCAGGACGAAGCTCGACGCCAACATTCGTTAAGTAACGCGTTTCGTAGAACACCATCTGTGACAAATTCTAAGAGAAACGAAGAGACAGGGCAACCTTGTACCCCTCTGGTGACAGGAAATAAGGGTGAAAGTTCACCATAGGCCCTAACCCTTCCCGGGGTCTGCTGCTAATTTGCTTTTAGAAGCAGAATATACTTCACGGGTACTCCGTATATCACCGAACAGTTCCACAATGCGAGAAAATCGATGAAGTTTGATATCCAAAAACGCGGCGATAGTTTGTCGTCTGTGTGTGGTGGTGTTCTTATAGCTGACGAAGGGCGAAGATTTGATCTATGCAACCGAAGCGTGCACGAAACCCAGCCTGCTCTTTGCGAATTAGCGCAGCTTCGGCGCTATTGGAATCCGACTTATGCCCCAGGGCATTGCAACAGCTCTTTTTGTAAATGGGTCAACAATGGGTTCTCCCCCCTGTGTGGGGTACACTCAGTCTGACAAGCTCTCTCACGGCTGCTTTAAAACGGGCAGGTGGCAGGTCGTCTGATCCAGCCGCCTTTTAAAGTTTCAGGGTTTGGACTTCCTTTCGAATCTCTTCCTCTGTCGTCGGTCCCGTGGATAGTGACCAGGATGCACTACCAAGAGAACTACCTGAAGCACCCAGCACGGGGGTTGGTTGAGCTGCGTTATGAAGTGTTCCGCCCAGCGTCTCAAGTGTCGATGAAGACTGTATATTAGCGTGCCGTCTACTTTGCACATTGTTTCACTAACGCACCTTCTTTTGGGGGCGTGGCACAGATGAGTTGGAGTAGTTACTGGGTGTTTCCACACCCAGTTTCCATTTCCTTTGCACGTAGCGTCCATCAGGTTTCTCGGTTGTCCAAAAGACTCCGTTACCGGATGGTTAGGGACACTAAAGGTTATGGCATCAAACCGACAGCAGTGGCGATCTTACTGACATTTCTTATCAGGCCAAAATGCCTGAAGTACTATGTATGCACAGTTGGACAATGTACTCTGTGTCTTGACCACAGAGGTTTGCTTTCTTCCCCCGTCCCTTGAATACTTTCAACTTTTGTTCTCATTGCACATTCTCACCTACCAATATGTGCATTGTGAGTATGACAGCGATCAGTGAAGTTCGCTTCAATGTATTACACTGTATGATGATTATGATGATGCTAGTAACAAATCTCTATTTGCAGATAGAAGGAAAACCTGGTAATCACAACCGAGGCCATCACTGAAGTAATCCCGACGCTCATTCGGCCGTGGTCACTATCTGTTTAGTGCAACCTGACCTGATTTGAATGAGGGCGTGTCTCGATGACTACGTCTGTTTGGTGACGGGTGCTTCGCGTGGAATCGGTCGAGGTATAGCCATCGGCTTGGGTGAACGTGGTGCCACTGTTTATATTACTGGAAGGACATTAAAATCCGCAGAAGTGGGTGAGGCAGCTCGGTCACTTGAAGCGACAGCGGCTGAAATCAACTCACGAGGAGGTGTAAGTAGTTGTAATCGGTTAGTTCATCAACCAACCGAATCTGTTTTTTTATTTTTGTCTTAAATTTTCTCTAATAGCTTAGGATAAAACGTTTTGTATCGATTTTTATCCAGTAAAAATAAGAGCTATCCGATCTTCAGTGATTCTTGTGTTATTAATGCCTGGTCCCTGCTTAATTATCAACTTCCCAATTGCATCATCAGAACTATGCCCCTTTCTGTAGAGTATGAGCTATATCACTTATTTTTTCACGCACGTCTGAATCCAGACTGTGCCAAACAAGTCATGTTACAATAATCTTTATGAAAAAGAGAAACGTTCCATGATTTGCACGTGGGCAGAATACTGCCAGGTTGTCCAGGCCAAGGCAGGTGAATTTTCTTGAGGAATNTGGCTAGCCAAATCCTGACCCACAAGGCAGCTAGTCGGTATGCGAAAACCGCAATCCATTGGGGGCTTGTGTCCAGTTCATCGGATTATACGCCCTTCGGACGGGGTCAAACGTCCAAGGTGCCCAATACACATCGATGCCCGATCGATCCAGTGAACACTGTCATAACCAGGAAGTTTTGTGTGTGCCNCCTCGTACCCCTCCTCATGGTTGGTTTGGAATCAGGGTTTTTGACCAATTTCCCTAGGCGAACTGCCAGTGGTTCACCAACCCGCTTATAGTCCCCGATATTGGTTTTTCGTCCCATCACTTTAGTGGGAAACAGCTCCGCCACGAGAAGACAACGAGTAGAACCCTCAGCAGAGGCTAATCGAGACGCTTGGTCGTATGAGAGCATTTCACGAGCTGCAAGGGACGAGTGGCCAGCCGCAACCCTAGACACCCACCCTCAACCATACTGAGGCTTTCGGAGGCAGCCGTATTAAACTCTTAATACGCAACATTTGGACGCAGAGTAGGTGTCTCGCGCCCTCCTGGTTTAAGTTCACAAGACTCCACAGTTAGTTGGTTCAGTTCAGTTCAGTTTGTACAACCATTAACCCATCTACATTACTCAGTGTCTAACCATCGGTTACGACCATCCTGAGGTCCCCATCCAGGGAGCGTAACGGGACCTATGTGACCTAGACTCCTAATAAGGGTTTTCATACCCTCATGCCAGGTCTTAACTTGACCACCTTTGGCTTTATTTCACCCACTACCTGCCTCGGTAACATTGCTCACCGTGGCAACCTATTTCCTGACATGCGTAACACATGCCCCAACCAACGTAATCTATAGAGGTCAACCACTTGCTCCAGTGGGAGACCGCGGTTGCCTAAAACTTTTCGCCTCACCTCAGCATTGCTCATCCGGTTGCCCCATCAGATTCGTACAACACTGCGTAGACAGCGATGTTCAAACACCGACAGTCAAAATTTATCCTGTTTTCTTAATGGCCAAGTTTCTGCTCTATATAGCTGAACTGGCCGAACTGCTTCAGCGTACACTCGACCCTTCACAGACAGTCGGATATCGTGACGGCGCCACAGATGTCTCAAGTTGGCAAATGCCAACATTGGAGGATATGGTAGCGAACCGACAGCAGTGGCGTTCTTGTTGTCATTTCTGATCAGGCCAGAATGCTTGAAACTGTATGTATGCAGAGTTCGGTTTTGCACTCTGTGTTGACCTTAGAGTTTCACCTTTCCTCTCTCTCAAAATAGATCCAATCCCTTTCTACCCTCAACATTTCTACCAACCTTGTTTGCATTGTGAGTTGGGCAGCGATTCATGATATACCTATATGTATATGTTACTCAAAGTTTCATAGTTTTATCAGTACCCAGACTTATCTGCTCCAATGATGTACCAAATTCTCTTTTTCTCAGAAAGCCATCCCAGTTTTGGTCGATCATTCGGACGAGGGACAGGTAGCCGCGTTGTTCCAACGAATTCAACGAGAACAAAGGGGACGTCTGGATGTACTTGTAAACAACGTGTACTCCGCTGTGCCTTTCCTTTTCAAATCACTCAAGAAACCTTTCTACGAATGTGAAGATCTAAGTCCCGGAGAAGCGTGGGATCTTGTGAACAATGTGGGTCTTCGAAACCACTATGTCTGTGCCACGTTGGCCACAAAAATGATGTTGAACTATCAGCAACGATTGAAGGAACAGGGTCATCCGGAGGACTCTAGAGCAGGATTGATTGTCAATGTGTCATCAATCGGCGGAAAGATTTACGCGTTTTCAACGCTTTACGGTGTAGGTGAGTGTATCCATAATATTTCATCAAATGCAACCTCTCAGCGGCAGTGAATTTTTTGGGTAGTCTAACTTGTCTGTTCGTTGGCATCTTGCTTATATGAGTATAGGAAATAAGATGGATGAAAAGCCGATATGCAGTGATGTTTTGCTTGTCAGTTAGTATATCACCGCATCTTATTCTGTGACATGCTTCTCAACAATGTGCAGTCAAAAAAGTGATAGAAAGCAGCATTAACTGATGAAAAGCTTGCTTTATTTACGAAGTTGCACACACGAGAGCACCGATGAAGCGATTTACCAATCAGATTGCGGTATTGTGTCCTTGACCTTGGTTTCCAGTAATCCAGGAATATTAAGAATGAACCATCAACTTCCGCGTTAGAGATTGATCCCATTCCGCCCTTC